CCAAACTACTTCCTGCTGGTAAGGGGCGCTGTCTTGGGGGATTCCAAGAAGATTCATATATCCTAGCTGTAGTCTGTAGGGCTGTTTTGTCCAGCTGTTTGGAATGTAGGATCAGCTTGTACTCTGTTTCAGGCAGTCTGGCGTGATCAAACCATATTAGTCTGGAAGGAATCCACATCTTTTCATTTTCTGTGGAAACAAAAATAGAAATCCTTTTCCCCAGTAACTTGTTCTTCAACTTAAATTTTGGAGTCAAAGCGTTTTTTTTTTTTTATTATTATTATTATTATTTTACATGTCGATCCCAGTTCCCTCTCTCCCTCCCTCCCTCCTTCGCTCCCTTTTGCCCTCTCTGCCCTCTCACATGCACTCTAAACACCCTCCCCTCCCAACCCCCCACCACAATACCATATGTAGGGGAATGCCATCCAGTTGGGGTCATGTAGATCTGACAAGTCCTGTGAAGTAGGGACTAGGGCTTCTCTCCTATCTCAAGAATAAGGCAGTTATCCTTCCATGGGGCATATTTTTGCAAAGTCCTTTTGTGCACCAGGGATACATCCTGGCTCCACTGTCTGAGGTCTCTTAGACTGCTCAGACCTTCTGGCTGAGACCCATATTCAGGGGGGTCCGAGTCAGTCCCCTGTTGGCTTCCCAGCTATCAGTCTAGTGGCCCTTAGCTCCTCCTTGTTCAGGTAAGCTGTCTTTATGTACTTCTACCGCATGGTCTTGTCCTCTCTACCTGCTTCTGGGTTCTAGTTCGACTCAGTGTTTATGTATGGGTGTTTGCTCCTATTTTCAACAGGCATTAGTTGAGGACTCCATGGAGAAGTTAGTTGTTGAACTCACTCTCCGGGAAGGGCATTTATGATAGCCTTTCCACGGGAGCTGAGATTGTTAGTTGGGAGCAGTCTTGTAGTTCCCTCGACCTTTCTTTGTGTTCAACTTTATCTTCAAACCAATATAGGCTCCCTCTTTTATGTTCTCTCTCTCTGTCTCTGTCTCTCTCTCTCTCTCTCTTTCCTATTTTCCATTCCTAACCAGGCTCAATCCTCCTGGTCACACATGCCTTCCTCTCCTCCCCCTCTTTTCTTCTACTTCTCTCTCCATTAGCTGTCCTCCCCCACTTTACCTGATGTCTGGGGGACTTGTCCCTTCCCAGTTCTGTGAGGGACTTTATATGAATCTCTTAGAATACAACTTGTATCCTAGTTCCTCTGGTGATGTGAATTATAGGCTGGTGATCATTTTAACTACATTCTTAAAGGTCATAGCATCTGCCTGACTTTTTTTGTTCAGAGGTTGTTTCTGGTCTCTTACTTAGTTATTCTCTTTTAAGCATACTTTCCTGTGTCCCTGGATCATTAGCTGGTGAATATATATGTATCTACCTCTATGCCTTAGATTATAATATTTACTATCAGAGTTTGCAGCTCATATTGCTCTAAATTTCTCTATATTACTTCCTAAGAATAGTACCTTCAGTAGTGTAACAGTAATTATAAGGGCAATGATATAAGATTATTGCAAATTGATATGGCAAATTGAGGCAAGGATGTAGAATAATCAAAACACCCTCATTGAATTGATAGGTAATAGTTTTGATGTTTGAACTAACAGTCCCCATTTTTTTTAAAAAAAGGAAATATATTATTAGTTCATCTGATAAGAAAATAGAATTAACTATTATGTCAATTAATGTATAATATTTCTCACCTCCACTGAAGTTAAAAAAATACAAATTACAGTAAAATTTTAAAAATGCATGTTTTCAAATGAGCTCACACATTATCATACTAAGTTCTTACTAAGAACAAAATGAGTCTACATTCCATGAGCTCTGGGCCAGCCTTTCTATATCCCCATATTTTGATATAGACCTGTTCTGAAGAGTTGCACATGTGCTGTCTTCAGTATTTCCCCTTAGGGATGTAAGTGAACAGCCCTCACATCCACATAAGCCTCTTGTTTTAATTACAATGAAAGACACTGTGTTTTCTACAATAGAGAGGTTATGTTGCAAAGATTTCCCTGGCTGTCTTACAAGTGTGGGTAGAAGCATTAAATGGGATGAGCACAAAGCACACATCCATATGGTATGGTGTGCTTCTGATTAAAAGACCTGAAATCAGGAGGCATATTTGAAATAAATACCTCAAAATACTGAAAGAGTCTTAAGTCTGGACTTGAAATACATGAGTGAAAAATAAACAGATGGGCTAAAGTAAATTGTAAATGTCATTTCCTAAAGAGATAAAACTGTCCCCAAACTGCATCAAAATAGCAGTGTAAGACCCCCGGAGGGCATGGACCCTCACGCCCCGACTCAGGAAAGGCGCCCCCCCCCCAAATCACTCACGAGAAGTGGTCTTGATGCAAAAGCATGAGGTCTTTTATATTCCAGTGCACTGGGGTCCGCAGCCATACTCCACGTGGGGTACAGGACTGGGAACCCCCGGTACAGGGTTCAGACAGCTTTTATAAGGTTACAACAAAGCCAGCGCATTACAAACCAATCATCTCAATAGCATCCAGTGTGGACCAATCAATTTGAACTATCCAAGCCTGCGCTTTGCCCAGGAAGTCCGCATTCACTGGGGCTCCTGGGTAGTGTGACAAGCCCACGCTTAGCCCAGGAAGTCTGCTTTCTATAGGACTCCTGGGTAGTGTGGCAGGGCTCATTTCCTGTTTTCATTCTCTCACAGGTGCTGTCAGTAACCCACCATGTAGTAAAACAGTCAAGAATGACCTTTTGCCTACTCACTGCTAGGGGGCAGAGTCTAGGGAAAATTGGGTTAAATTTTTCCATCCTTACAGTGGCATTATCTTTTGTTATGTCGATTTCATGCATGAGTGTGTGCTCCTGTACAGGCAGTGTGCACATCCACACCAGTGTACTTGTGGAGGTCCCAGGAGGCTTTTGTGCTTCTATACTTGATCCTTTCTTGAATCTCAGTTACTTTGGTGGAAAGTCTAGTCCTCCTTGTCCCTCTGGAATCCCTCCTCTTCACTTCACAAACACTGCCTCCTGTAGCTACATCTTTCCACAGTCACATCTTGATTGGGTTCAAGTTTTGATCATATTTCTGAAATTTAGACTTAAATATTTTGTCATGTATATATGTATATATCTATATATCTATATATATACATATATACACACATATACATATACATATGTAGTCTTTCTTGGATCTCTCCCAAGTATACCAGACCCTGGGTATATTTTTAAAATGATTGAAATGTCTAACATTTTTGATTCATAATCTTAATCAAGATTCTGACATTCAATGAAACTGTGGACATGGTGTTTTATTTCCATTTCCTTATAACATATAATGTTTACGTTCTCTTCCATCAGTGTGTATATCCTTTTAACCACCCCACTGATCTTGCCATATTTGCTCTCACTTCACACAGTTCATTTGCATGCCAGCAGCCAAAGATTCCTTAGAAAATCTAGGTTAAATCCTACCAATCTTTTCCAGCCTCTCCACTATGATCACACAGTTTTTGTTGTTGCTTTTGGTAAAATACACAAACTTCATTTGTCCTCCATTGTACTTTTCCATTTCACTGTGTTTCTTTTTATTTTATGACCCCGACCACCTTGTTCCTTTGATTTATTTACTACCTTTTCCTTAGACTGTCATCTTTAACACATTGTCTTTTATTTAGAAGAATGACAAAGTAAACCATTTAAAGCTCTGGTCTCATCTGGTCACACTCTGTGACATCCTCCTTAGCATCTTTTTAAAATTATTCTTCACTGCCAATCCATACCTCTTAATTCTTAGTGTTTTCCCCAGGATGTATTGCTGGTGCATGAAAGGACTTTGGGAGCACATTTCCCATAGAGGGATACTCCCTTAGCCTAGAGGCAGGAAGGAGGGCCTAATCCCTACTCCAAAAGACAGATTTTGATGATACCGCCTAGAAGGCATCACTCTCCCTGTGGAGTGGGGAGGTGGGGGATGATAGGGGGTGGAGGCATGGGAGGTAGGGAGGGAGAGGGAACTGGGATAGATATGTAAAATCTGAAGCTGCATGATGGCAGGTAAATCAGAGTTTTAGTTTCTATTTTTGTTTTCATTTCCCCCCTAATGCTTACACAAAATTATGATATGATGGCTGTCATAGTTAGCTTTCTCTGTCAACTTGACAGAAAAACAGAATCATCTTCAAAGAGGAAACCTTAACTGAAGGATTGTTTCCATCAAAATGACCTGTGATCATGGCTTTGGAGGCATGGTCTTGATTGGTACTTAATTCAGTAGGGTGCAGAATATGTTGGTTAAGGCCATCCCTAGGCAATTGGGCCTGAACTTTTTAATAATGGTAGATACAAGTCAGTAAGTAGTATTCCTTGGTGGAATCTGCTTCAGTTCTTGTCTCCAGGACTTGTGTTTCTTCAGTGGCTTCCCTCAAAAATAGACTGCCACCTGTACGCAAAATAAGCATGAAGGAAGTTCATAGAGTCATGATGCACTATATCAGAATATATCATAGACTTCACCCACCCTGAGGAGTGGATGGGGGGGCCTGTGGAGAACAAGGGAATATTAGAGAGAGAGACAAAGTAATAAATAACACTGATTAAAAAAAAAAGAAGAATGAGATTTAATTTTTATACTAAATAACTATCAATATTTTTCCTGTTTGGAGCAGTGATGAAGATGAAATTCCAGCCATTCGTTGCTGTTTTGATGCAACATGGCCTAACATTTGTATTTAATATTTGATGTGTTAAACTGTAGTCACAAACACAAGCAGAACTCTTAAGTATTTTTGGAACAGACTGTGTGAACCTACAATGGAGTTCAGCTTCTCAAAGTTTTATGCCTGAGCTGAACAACTAAATTTTAAGGAAATATTTACTATAGCTTTGTTCCTGAATATGTGGCTTATGGCGATGCAGTGTACCCTCACACATCCCTCCAAAAGCTTTACTGTTCATGTTCTGACTACTTATACTTGATTTTAAACTTTTTCTTTTCCAGATCAGCAGTCTTGTGACCCTGGTGAATTTCTTTGCCATGACCATGTGACTTGTGTCTCCCAGAGTTGGGTGTGTGATGGGGACCCTGACTGCCCGGATGAGTCAGATGAGTCTTTAGTCACCTGTGAGTAAAAAGGCTCTTTGATTTTGAATTTACCTCCATGTGAAACCAAATCTCATTTGCTTTCATTGATCATGGCTACTCTCGTTGATTCTATTTTTATTTCTTTTTAAATGTTGCTGTTTTCTTCAAAATGAGTATGTAAATTGGGGAGTTACTTACTGAACTGTGCTGATGATAGCAAACTTGTAGAGAAACAGAAATATAGCATGGCAGCACAGGAGTGTTTTTACAGTTTGTTTCCCCTGTCTTGAGATGAAGGCATGTGTGGAAGGATTGTTAAGGGAATGAACTCTAGCTTTCACATCATTTATATTAACTTTTACAAGTCTAAAGATTACTGAATGTAATTACTTTAAACCTAGAACACAGAAACCTGATCAAGGAGGTTTTTTGCTTTTTGTTTTTTGTTGTTTTTTCGTTTTGTTTGTTTGTTTTGTTTTTCAAGACAGGGTCTCTCTGTATTACTTCAGAGCCTATCTTGGAACTAGCTCTGTAGACCAGATGGGCCTCCACTTCACAGAGATCCGCCTGCCTCTGTCTCCACCAATGCCTGGCTAATGAGGTTCTTAACTAATATAAGATTCAGATGGCCCTTGGTGTCTGTGTGTTCTAATCCTGTTTGAAGCAATTGTTAAATGAAATCCCCTGAGGATTTTCACAGACTGGACATGTCACTGTAACAAAATTGTGAATAATGATGTGAGCACAGCTGAATGACTCACAGTTTTATGAATGCTTAACTTTTCTTCAGTGTGGGAACCAGAGACTAATTTTGATATTATTTCTCTAGAACTTGCCATATCAGTCTATGGTCATCCTGTGACCAGATCTGTTAGCATATCAATATTATTCCAAGATAATCACACAATTCTGTAAAGTCAATATAAAGAAAAAAACCGTCATTGTTGTTGATTTATACTGTAATAATGACCTTTATTCCCTTTTATGGTTTATCGATGCACTCACCCGTTTTGCAAATAGAGCTAATGCATTAGTTATTAAAATCACACCATTAGAAATAAAATCAGTGTTCATTAACATTCTTTATGTTTGCAAGCCCTATTAAAGTTTTTCAGCATGGATGAACATGAATGTGTGTATTCAATTCTCTCATCCTTAAGAGAAGAGAGTATAGTTATAAAATAAATTTCCAATTTTTACCAATTTCATATATAATTATAAAATTTTCCACTAGAATCATTGTGAAATATAGAGCAAGTTCCGTGTGTGATAGATTTAAGAAAAGAAAATAAGAATGGTATAATGAATTTAAAAAGTTTTGCAAAAGCCTACAAATGAGTTATTTGTAAATAAGAAAGAATAAATGAATCACTCATAATAGAACACAGGGGAACTTTCAAAACATTACACAATAGGTAAGACTCTAGTCACAAAGGACAATGCATTTTAAAATATCATTCATTAAATGACTCCATATAGATATTTCCAATTTGGGTTTCTTAATCTAGACCTTCACAATTAACACAGTTCCTCACAGCGTGTTTTCTGAATTTCCTATTACTTATTCCTGAGCTCCATTAAATAATTTTACAATACTATAATTATATGAATGTGAACATTTGATATGTTAGATCAACACTCAGAATGGAAACCTGTGAAGATTGATTCTTAGGAATTGTAATTTTAATATGTGTACAAACAGAACATGTTATTATCTTTGGTTTGATAATAAACATGTTGTTTCATAAAATTTGAATGAAGCTACATGATACAATGTATTTTTCCCTAAATCTACTTAGCCTTTATAATGAGAAGAATGCATGAGAATTTATCATGAAATATGGAATCTGTGAAGTAAAAACTCCCCACAAGAATAAGATATTGTTGGGGAACTGGAGAGGTGGCTCAGAGCTTAAGAGCATTAACTGCTCTTCCAGAGCACCAGGGTTTGATTCTCAGAACCCACATGGCAGCTCACAACTGTCTCTAACTCCTGTTTCAAGGGATCTGATGCCCACATACAGACATCCGTGTAGACAAAACACCAGTGTACAGAAAATAAAAATAAATTATTAATTAAAATTTATCTGATATTTTTGATTAGGAAGAAGAAGAGATTGACCCACGACCTCTGATAATTGGCCTATTTTAGAAAAAAAATGTGAACAGGATATGGAAATAAATGAAATTAAGATATAAAGGGAATTTAAGGGAACTCATGATTTCTTCATCTCCTTGGTTTCTTTGGGAATATTTCTTCATATGCATCCCACAGGAATTAAATTCCACTACCAGCTAGCAACCCAGGAAGCTTGTATGAGTTATAGTTCACACTTAGTGAACTTCATTTTGGAAGGACTTGACTATTATTTGGAAATTTAAAATAATTTGAACATTTCTGTTGATTATGAAAATAAATTCTTCCTATTGAGATGAAATTCTTCCTGTTTGTAATTGGAAATGTATCTTCAAGGATCTAAACAATGATTAAAGTCACCTTTGGTTCCTATGAGGAGAGGAGAACAGGAAATCAGGAGAATGTCCATCTTTATATTCATGGCTTTCAATTCGCTGTTGTTAACTGTAGTATGCAGCTAGAAGGAACGAAAACATGGGAAAGGTTTCATTGTGAAATGTATGCATGACATCATCTGTGGCAAGGAAGTTGTCCTGAAAGGCATAGGTATTAAAATCATAATTCCTCTAGAATTATTCTGTTTAATGCTTAATGACTCTTCCTTTCCAACAGTCAACTCCAGCTAGTGGGTCATACTTTCTGGGGATCTGAAGTTACCACAAATAACCTCACTTCTTTTTTTTTTCACCCAGTTAAGTCATAATCATGCTACTTGTCTCATTTCTACTGCATTATTAATCCTCAGAAAATTACTTAAAGAGTTCTTTGATTATCGACCATATTTTGTTGATAACACCAATTTAGTGACCAAAGGAGTGACATATAAAATGGTTTTGTGAATGTAGACTCTGCAACCTGGATAGTTGTGACAATGTGTGCATTGACTTTGTTTTTTTTCTCATGTAGTGTAGGATTTTTATGTGAAGGACTCCAGTAGTCACAGTTTAAGGTTCAGAGCCTTCCTGAGTATTATTCTTTTTAATGTGTGTTTGTTTTACAAACTATTTGCCAGATTTCCCTATGAAAAAAATTATAGTAAAAATAATCAAGGATTAACAAAGTAGGCCATATATCAGATTTGGTTAGCAAATTTATATTTTGCCCTGTTAATATTGAAGTATAATTTCTGAAACTTGCCAGATCTACAGTTGTGCATGCAGGTCTGTGTGTGTCTAGGGTGCTGTGGTGTTGTGGGTTTGGCTGACACCCACAAAGTAAGTGAATATTGCATAGTCTTTATGTGAACTCATGTTTCTAGCCTGAAAAAAAATCAAAAACAAACAAACAAACAAAAAAAACCCAGCATAGTATGCAAACTTTATGTCTCACATATATGCAAAGCTGTTGTCAATGGCTCATGGCTGATTCTGAGTACATGCTGCAAAATTGGAATTTTACCTAGCAGCTTCCCTTTCTTTCAAGGGAAAAAAAAATGATTACAAAGATGGACAAATAGGGACAACTTGAAATTAATCTGATCACTCCAGTGGGAACTGTGTTTCTTGATCTTTGTGCTCTGCCATGCTTGGCTTGAGGTTGTCAATCTTACCTTCACAGGCTGGCTGCTCCATCTTCTTTGCAGACAGTTCCATTTCAGACACAAAGAAGAGAAACCGGAAAGCAAACAGGCAAATGCCTGTTCACTTACTCTGTTGGAAGAAGAGCTTCTATTGGAATTAAACACATACAACATCTGTGCTTGAACTGCTCATGTGGGTCATGGGGCAACCAATATTCTCAGCAAAGGCTATTTTCTGGGTTAGATAAGAAATAAAGGTAATTGTCTCAGTTTCTTTTCCTCTAGCTATGACAAATACTCAGATGAAAGCCATTTCCTTTCCTCCATCTATATAGTGCCAGATATAGTCAGGGATTGGTGCCAGATACTCATGGTAGATCTTTCAATAAGCCTAGTTAAGAATATCCCCCGCAGAGTCCATATTGTTTAGTGGTTAAAATCACCTCCTGTTCTTGAAAAAGACACAGGTACAATTCTCAGCACCACATAGCAGCTCACAATCAGCACAATTGTAACTGCAGTTCCAAGACATGTAACCCCCTCCTCTGCCTTGCAGTGATGACCTTGCTATCTGGATTTGTGAAATAAGGACATCGGGTTTATGGTCTTTCTTGTAGCCCTCCACATAAGCTGATTAGTGACAGCTGAGCCTGTGTTTCTTTGAAAATCCCCTCCCCCAAAAAATACTGAGGTGAGAAAAAGATTCAATCCCTAAGAAGACCCCACAAGCCACCTAATTTTAAAGTGTAACATCATTTGAAGATCATGGAAGGTCATCTCAATACAACAGATTCACATGGCTTCTGGAGTGATCTTATCTAATTGAACAATGTAGTAAAAAGAACAAGTCTCCTGGGTCCTAGGGACACAGAACTTTCTAAAAGACAAAAATGTCTATAAGTCACTGAGTTAGATAAAACTCTGCATGAAGTATTACATTGTGTTTTTGCTGTGAGATTTTAACTTTCTTTAGATAGTGAGATTATAATCAACTTCATATATTCATATATTAACTCCCCCAACCCCGTGATATAAGGTAGAAAACCTTTTGCTGATTTCTTTCTAACTTTCTCTGATACAGGTCAAAGAAATAAAATGGGATTCATGTGGGAAGCTATTAGCAAACAGATACTGCCCTTTAAAATATATGGTAGAATAAGGAACTGAAAATAGGCTACAGGAACACTAATGTGGATGAAAGTGTGGTCTGTGTTTCTAAGTAATTGTGATTTAGAGGTCATTTTGCAATGAGCTCATCTATGGGAGGCTCAGAGCTAAGCTTTCTGTTAGGTAGAGAAGCAGAAATGATCTTACAGATTAAAGAGAAAGCAGATGAGACCCAAGAGGACAGTTTATGTCTCTTTCAATTCTTCTGTTTTGTTCATTTTATT